ACCCTCATATGTTGTAAACTGGGGTATATCTGCATTTTGCCTTTGCTGAAAGGCATTCTGAAACAGAACATTTTCTGAACCAATCACTCTCATTCTCTGCAGTTTGTTCATCTTCTAGTCCAGTGGTTCTCAACTTGTGGGTCTCCAGATGCTTTGACCTTCAACTCCCAGAAATCCTAACAGCTGGGATTTTTGGGAGTTGGAGACCCAAACACCTGGAGACCTACAGGCTGAGACCACTGTTCTAGTCCTTCTCGGCTTCATTCTTCTATCAAAATCCCAAATCAAACAGCCTAGAACATCTAAAAAGCCACATTTTCTCCACCATTGCTTTAAACAGTCATGAAGAACTGTGACTCCCCTATCAAAGAATTATGACAGCAACCACAAGTTTACATAATCTGCAAATTGTCAAGTAAAATATGGCTCTCTGGATAACCATGTTAATATTATCTGGCTTTTGAAGCTTTCCTCAAGTGGCAAAATGGATCTGGATATGGATGCCTGCCATTTGGCAGGTCATTCTTCATAGTTAATATCTTGGACAAAGGAGAGTGGGGTCACAAAATGGTACAAGCCTTTTCTAGCATGTGGTTTGGTGTACTTGATGGAATTATTTAATGCAGAAAGCTTCATGACATGGTACAAGGCACCTAATCTAATTCTTTGTTGCTTCCTCTATGGGGGACTGCTGTATGAGACTGGGTAGGTGGTGAATACATGTTTCTATCCCATCATCTTGACTTAACAAACCAGCCAAATATCCTGAAATTCCGTGGGAAGCCTGACAGAAAATGTCTCTTACGGATTAGCGGGGCTCACCCAAAAATAATGGGCCAGCACATGCCTATTAAATTCTAGAGTATTTAAAGTGGTTGAGAACCAAGACCAATTAGAGTCCAGCTGGCAATAATGTGGAGATTATAACTGCATCAGTTGGAATTAATCTTTCAAGATGCCTTAGCAAAGGCAAAGCTTGAGTGATACAAGTGTACAAAGCGTGTGGCTGGCAGCCAGGAACTATGTACTAGTGTATTGGTTAAAACAGAATGAAGGTGGAATGCCATTATGAGACACGGAATTTAGTCCTCAATCCAGAATCCAAATAATGTTTCATTATAAGTAAGCCTACTTCCAGTTTTCCATGTTTCTCACTGGTAAAGGCATGGGGAGAAACTATCCACTTTGTGAAAAACCAAGCTCAACAAAATCCAGTGGAACGTTGATATGTCCAAAGGAGGGCGACTAAAATGATCAAGAGTCTGGAGAACGAGCCCTATGAGGAGAGCTGGGCATATTTAGCCTGAAGAGGAGAAGGCTGATAGGAGACATGATAGCTATGYATAAATACGTGAGGGGAAGTCATAGGGAGGAGGGAGCAAGCTTGTTTTCTGCTGCCCTGGAGACTAGGACGCGGAACAATGGCTTCAAACAACAAGAAAGGAGATTCTATCTGAACATTAGGAAGAACTTTCTGACTGTGAGAGCCGTTCAGCAGTGGAACTCTCTGCCCTGGAGTGTGGTGGAGTCCYCTTCTTTGGATGCTTTTAAACAGAGGCTGGATGGCCATCTGTTGGGGGTGCTTTGAATGCGATTTTCCTGCTTCTTGGCAGTGGGTTGGACTGGATGGACCATGAGGTCTCTTCCAACTGTATGATTCCATTATTCTTCCCCCATACTGTGGGCCTCCATATGCTTTGGCTACAAAGTTCATCAGCCCTAGGAAACCTGAGCATTACTGATAGTTTGTGAGGGCTGAAGTTACAAACCTCTGGCAATACTAGGCTGGCAAGAGATGGTGGTCATTCACAAACTATCAGCAAGGAAGGATGGATTGTCAAGAGAGAAAAAGCAAATTTTCAATTAAATGTGCATCTGTTAATTTATATTTGTCAATGCACACTTAGAAACAACTGTGGCTATTAAAAGAGTAATACAAAACATCTCACCATAGTGAGAAAATCTGATCATGCTTTGCTTGGAATATTATCTTAAGAAGTGATTTTGCTATAGTGTTACTTTACAGTGATCCCTTGCTATCCACTGGCAATTGATTCCAGGACCATCTATAGATGCTGAAATCGCATTATATATAATCTCATTATATATAATGGTATAATGAAGCAAGGCTCCTTGTACGAAATGGTAAAATCAAGGTTCAGTTGGGGTTTTTTTTTAAGAAATGTACTTGCTGGAAATACATTTATCCATGGAAAGAGGAGGGCGACTAAAATGATAAAGGGTTTGGAGAACAAGCCCTATGAGGAGCGGCTTAAGGAGCTGGGCATGTTTAGCCTGACGAAGAGAAGGCTGAGAGGAGAATGATAGCCATGTATAAATATGTGAGAGGAAGCCACAGGGAGGAGGGAGCAAGCTTGTTTTCTGCTTCCCTGGAGACTAGGACGCGGAACAATGGCTTCAAACTACAAGAAAGGAGATTCCATCTGAACATGAGGCAGAACTTCCTGACTGTGAGAGCCATTCAGCAGTGGAACTCTCTGCCCCGGAGTGTGGTGGAGGCTCCTTCTTTGGAAGCTTTTAAACAGAGGCTGGATGGCCATCTGTCAGGGGTGATTTGAATGCAATATTCCTGCTTCTTGGCAGGGGGTTGGACTGGATGGCCCATGAGGTCTCTTCCAACTCTTTGATTCTATGAAAGCCATCCAAAGGCTGGTCCCAAATCCCTAAGGATGTTCCCTTCCAATAATAATATTTTGGAATAACCAATAAACTTCATTTGTCAAATTCAAAGTTGTCAGGTATGATGCTATTTAACAATAGGATTTGTTTATGGTCTAATTTTTAGCAAAAAGCAACATGTCTCAAGTAATACTTCTTTCAATCACACAATTTCTAACTCTTGAATTAGCAATCTGTGTCCTTCACCTAATGATGATACATCAGGGCTCTCACACACATAGTCATGCCATTGGGGTTCCAATTGTCATAGAAGCCACAACACATATATGTATGGACCCAGGATATTAAAAATACTTGCAAAGTCCTTAAAAGGGTCTACACTACAATCATTAAAGTAGTTTGATACTATTTTAACTAACACTGTTCCATCCTACAAAGTCTTGGTATGTGTAGTTTGGCTTAGTTTTGTTGGAATTCTACAACAAAATTCTAAATGCCTCACCAAACAACAAATCCCAGAATTCCATAAGATAAAGTCATAGTAATTCATTGTGGGGTTTAGATACACTCCTTGACAAGAGAGGATGCCTCTCTCAACACATTAACACTCTGCCAAGAAAACAGTCAACTACCAGGAAATGTTTTGCATTTTGCAACTCTGCAATGAACATTTCTCTTGAGCAAAACTTGTATTAGAGGCCAACTAACTTTCCCCACTCAAATAAAGGAGGAAAAAATGGAAATGCAGAACAGTTCTCATAATCTCACCCAGCAGAGAGAAAATGTTTCAAAACGTTTGTTCCTGTATGCAAGAACAAAATAAAAATAAATATTTTTCCGGCCAAAGTTTGTGCTGTATATATGGGTGCAAATCTGTCACCGGGATCTGGGATTATGTGGTGCTCACATGTTAGAGCAACTGTATTTTGAATGCATAGTTTGAACTTGAAGAACTCTACCAACCCATACAAATTAGGCTATGTTCTCCAAAAGAACACATACAAATATACATGTATACACTTGCAGACAGGATGGAAAGAATATTAGGAAACATTTCAAAAATGGTTGGAAAATGTCTTCCTTGAGGTTCGGGACACCCTAAAGACTTATTCTGTGTTAAATTCACACAGAGTATTTGTTTTCCACACAAAATAGCATTTTCTGTGCAAGAAACAACATTATGTGTCTTAAATGCTTTTTCCTGCTCAGAAAATGCTGTTTTCCTACACATGGTACAAAAAGCCCATCGAAATGTTGTGCAGACTAAGCCCTGAACTGGGAATGGTCTTGGAAAACTGCACAATTTTTGAAGACTTTCTTGTGGCAGGAGAGAAATTGTTTAAATTATGAATTGTTCCACTTGTGAATGAAATTAGCAATTACTTGCATTCCTAAGAAACAGACTAAATCGGACCAGTGCCAAATTTGTTGAAAGTAGCATATCTGTGGAGTTGGGTTAGAAAACAGAAACCAAGAACCAAGCAAATACGTGTTGCCAAATGTTTACTTTTGGTTTGAAGTTATTTGGCATACTTTTGTTTGCCTGTATGTTGCTCCTTCTTGCCATGTTGCTTCCTTGTCCTCATAGAAACTTGTCACATTCTAGATCCACAACAGCCAGACATCGGCATATTATACATATGTTTTTAAATTATCAACCAATTTCCTCATCACTCAAAAACAGAAATGGCATACATGGTCCAAAGCATCCCACGGTCCAAACTTCCCCCTTTGGCCCTAATGGCTACCTTATGAGGTACCTGAAGTAGGAAGAAATTCTCCTTTCTTCAAATGTTGGCCACACAGAGACCTTTAAAAATGGTAGAAGGTCCCCTCAAGGCAACCCTTTCCATGTATGCTTATCATAACATGCCTCCAACAAGTACGTGGTCCCATAAACAAGCAGGACATAGTATCTGCTTTCTCAACACCATCATGCAGCGAGCAGATTGCATGTGGCTGAATGGGATTTGCTAAACATTTAAGACAACCGACTGTCGTGAGTCTCCCCTGACCTCTGGGAGTTGCATTTGTATAGTTCAGCCCTAAATAGGTAACTAGGAACCAATATTTACATGTTCAACACTGGTTTTAAATGGAGGACCCCAGGGAACTAATCACCAGTAGGCCCCATTGGTGTGCTGGAATTCAGCAGTTGGTGGAGGATGCTATATAATAATTTTAGGCCTGTGTCCAAGACTGCAGTGCCAGCAACTACAGCAACACAGTCCAAGAAAACCCTCCATTGCAATGAGGGAAAGGTTTTGCAGACCAGAATCTTCTAACTGAACACACCTTATAAAATGAATGTTCCTGCCATCCCACTGTAAGAGAAATTTGCCATTCAAATCTTTGCCTGGACCTGCTCTTTTTTTTAAAAAAATGGTGGTGAAGCAGTGGCTTGTCATAGATAAGACATCCCAAGTTCAGACCCTAGCCTCTACATTTCAGAAGGATTCAAGGCCAAAAAGAATATCTGTCTGAAATTTTAGACAATTGTCCCAATTACAGTCCCAGGTTACACAATCCAATGGCTTAACAATGTATAAGGCAACTCTTTATATCTCTTTGGAGCAAAGGTCCTTCACTCTCTAGAAGCTTTCATCTTTCAGAAGTACAGCCAGACCTGGAGTCCATCTCTCCATCCAGCTAATTCAAGGAAGAGTAGTCTTCAGTGCTGCAGAATTGTTGCCAATGACAATTTCCCTGCAGCTTCTTTTTCATTCCTGGCATGGCAGGGAAACCAAAGTATTAAAGGAGTCCAAGCAAAGTGTAGTTCTCTTCCTCCAGATGCCAGTGTCGATTCCTTACTGCTTGCAGGTGTAAACCACCTCTTCCTGCATGCACTGTTGACATTCAACATAGCAGCACCACTGCACCTGGCAATGGCAGGAGAAGGTCACCATGCGTGTCTGGATGTTGTAGCCCCGGCCACAGCACATACTGTCACAGTTGGCCTCACGGGAACACGTCCTTCCTGCAGTGCCCACTGAATACCTGCTGGGCCGGCAGAAACTGGGAGAGTCCTCCATGTAAACCAGGTCAGTGGGACGGGGATGGGATGGGCCTTTGGCCAAATGGCCATGGTGCTGGGGGCTCACCAGTTCTGAATGGCCCATAGCATCATTGGTGGCACTGAAGACCTTGACAGCACCATCATAGCGTAACTTGAGGAGTTTCCCAGTCTCATGGAAAGGGGACAACTGTTTCCAGCAAGTTCTCACAGCACACGAGCCGGAGACCCCATGGCACTTACAAGTGGTCTTGAGGCCATTTTTCACAGCCTGTAGAAGGAGGAGAAGGGTGGATAGCCACTCATCAGAAACCATAGCCACAAATGATGAAATAGAAAAAGGCAAAATAATAGTTTTATGAATAATTCAAAAGTTTAAAAGACAAAACCATAAAGCAGTGGTTCTCAGTCTTTGGGCCTCCAGTTGTTTTTGATTTCAACTCTCAGAAATCCTAGCCATCTTACCAGCTGTTAGGAATGGTGGGAGCTGAAGTCCAAAACATCTGGAGAACCAAAGGTTGGAACCACTGTCTTAAAGATTGCTGACAAGTTTTGAAAAGCAAACCAGCCTGGTAGACATGGCCTCTGCAAAATGGTTTAGAGAAAATGTCAAAACACTCATTTATATTTAAGAATAAAGGATAATCTTGTACTTTGGAGACCAACACACACACTGAGTAAGGTCCATCAAAGAGAAGAGCTGTTAGCCTCTTAAGATAACTATTCTCCATACCATCATTTGCCATTTTTAATAAACATCTGAATTGATATATTATTTGCTGTTAACTAGTAATATATTTATGAATTGCTTTAAAAAGCACTAAATTCACATTAACATTTGTATAAAAATGTAAACCATGTAAACATTTAAATCCTGCCTTTTCCCCAGAATAAGGAGGAATTCCATTCTGGGAGAAAGCAATATGAGAGCTTGTTTCCCCTTATTTTTTTATTTCAGTGACTATTCCATTTTTTCTCATTACTCAACTAAAATTAGCTCTCAATGTAGCTAACAATCAACAAAAACAATTTAAGCACTAATCACTATGAATATAATCCTAACAATAAAAACAGAGTTTGTAGTCTTTCTAAAAGTGACATAAGTGAGAATTAATTGAAGGAGCAAAGGAATTACATTTCTTAGTTTGGATGCAACATAGAAGTATCTCAAATGGTCAGGCAACTGCCTATCTGACCTTACTGCCCTGAGGTTTAGAAATATGTGTGACACAACTTGGAAAAACCTCTGGCTCAGACTACAGTCCTCAGAGTAAGATATAGACAGGGTTTCCAAAACATGAGGTTGGTAGTCACAGCTGACTAGGGACCTCATCAAATGCAATCCCGACCCCAGTTTCCACACATTTCTGAATGAATAGTCTAACCTAGCATCAAGGAGGCCATTAAATGACATTGGGGAGGAGGGACAGGAGATGGGGAGAAATCATCTTCTGAGTGCATTATTCATGTGGAAACAGAGGAAAGTGAGGAAAAATATATGGGATCTGTCAAAATTGCTCATGTTCAATCAGTGACGTAGAGTAATTAATGGCCATTCCTATGGGCGATCCCCAACCAAGCATTGAGACTTCTTTCTCAAAATCCTGCTTCATGAGGCTGATATGGTAATTTTTTTTGATTAATATAATCATTAGAAATACCAAAATTTCAAGATATTACTACTTTCTTTTTCTTGTCATTTCTCCTTCATAGTAATCTTGCCTTTCGAAATTGCGCTACTGCTAACTTTTTAATTTTGCTTCGGACTTCTGCGATTGAGAATTATGAAATGGGGAGGAAATGAGCCCAGAGAAGGTGGGCCTGCCTTAAGTACAATCCCTCCCATCTCCTTGAGAGTAAGCAAATTAGGAGGGAGCAGAGGAGCCCATGGATTGAAATGGGGTTTGCCTTAAGACTGATGTCTCCTGTCTCCTCTAAGCGGATGGTTGAGCTGGGAGGAGACCATCTTATATGGTGGAGGTAAGGAAATTTTCCATTTTGTTTAAAGAAGGAACACCATGCAAAAAGATGATTCCATATGCAAAGAAGATGATTTCCCCCATTTTCCCCAGCTCCGTCTGATGAAGTCCTAGGTACATTTGCATTTACCGCATCTCCTTCTAGGCTAGTGACGGAAGGCCTTACCTTGATGCCCACATTCGTATTGTGGATGTCCACCTTGGCCCGCAGGTCTTTCCCAACCTTTTTTTGGCCCAGAAAATTCTTCAGGAACCTCGTACTGTACTTGAGGTTATCTCCGCACACTCCCCACTGCCAGGCCTTGCGGTTTTCCAAGTCTGGTGAGTCGTCACAGGTGCAGCGCTCCATCCGTCCTGCGCTGCATGCCCGAGCAAGGGAATGAGTCAGGGCTGCGGAAGACACAGCATACAGAAAAGCTGTTTCTTTGAAACCTAAAAGTGAGGGAGCAAGCAGTCAGGAATGAAGATAGAAATTAAGTACTGAGAAGAATGGCTGTCGTTGTCAACAACACATTTTTCCCAAGGCAGTTTACAACTATTAAAACAGCTTAAAATTACTGAACAAAAGTTTAAAATGTAACTAACTATTAATAAAATTAAAATCCAATTAAAACCAAAGCAATAAAAAGACCAAGTGGGCTCTTGGCATCAGCTGTGGTTTAGTTCTAGGAACACCTTCTCCATAAATACGAAATCTGTGGATGTAAATTCCATTGTATACAATAGCATAGTAAAGTGGTATCCCTTATGAAAATGGACAAAATCAAGGTTTGCTCTTTGTAACTTAAAAAAAGATATTAGTGTAATTGTATACAGAGGGTTGAATGTATAGCCATGCAACACATAAAAGGCCCTTTCCCCCCTGAGCATTCAGCCCTCACAGGCCTGTCAGAACACAATGGTCTTCACCTGATTATGAAGTGAAAGCAAAGAGGATGCCAGTCTGATCACTATAAGAACAGAGATGCCAAAGGAAGCAACACCAAGAAGTTCCTCTCCTACGTTCACACCAGATTTATTGGTGACATTGGTGCAGAATAGACAGGGCCCTCCCCAGAGCTTTTGATTAATGACTCTGAAGTGGAATTGAATGTCATGAACATAATCTATTGTTTTTAATCTATCTGTACTGCTAGCAATGGGGAGAAATGCTTGTGTATACAATTCTATAGAGCTCCTCTTCATGACATTAGTACCGTATTTTTCAGCGTATAAGACAACTGGGCATATAAGATTACCCCCAAATTTTCCAGTTAAAATATAGAGTTTGAGATATACTCACCTTATAAGACCACCCCTCATCCAACCCACACCAAATAAAAAAAATCAAATTTGATTTCAATATGGTAATTTTCCTATTACCGTATCTCCTTGTCTGACTCTCAGATCTTGCACATGCGCACCTGCGCCGCTTCACTCCAGTCCTCAAGAGCAGGATCCGAGAGTTAGAGAAGAAGGTATGGTAATAGGATACCAGGGCAGGCCAGATGGGTGAAAGAGGTATGTTTTTCTGGCCACAGCACCGTTCTATCTCTTTTTTCCATATCCCGGGTGTCCTGGACACTTGCAGCTTGCTCCACCCTTCACTTAGACCTTCCTGGTGAGGCGCTCCCTCACCTCATCATTGGGACTACGTTAAGTCACTTCTTTCCAGAAATCCTGGTGAGTGGATTTTCTACTACTGTACTTGTATAGCACCGCCCTTGCTGATCTCATATGGTCACTGCATAAGGCGGGGATGTGGCTGCAGCCGTTTTTGAGCTCCCCCCACCAGATGCAGGGACCGCAGATTCTCCAGTTCAGCTCAGAAGTTTCAGCACCCACTCTAAAAGATGACACCCAGCGTATAAGACGACCCCTGATTTTTTAGAAGATTTTCCTGGGTTAAAAAGTAGTCTTATACAACAGAAAATACAGTAATACCAAAAAAAAAATCTGCTGCCCATTCTTGGCATTTGACTCTGTCTTCCACTACTACCTCTGCCTAATGGTAAGGCCAGTAGTCATCATATCAAATGAAGTCCTAGCAAGGTGTGTGGGGAGAAGATAACTCAAAAAAGAAGAAACCTAGAATTCCCTCTTTCCTTGGGCCTTTTATAGGTTGACAGAGCGGCACTCCTACCTCGCTTTAGGAGATCTGCCCTCCCATCCAGGCTGCAGTTCCAGCGCTCATTGCGAAACTGATACTGGCACTCAAGGACTCCGAGTCGGATGGCATCTCGCAAGGTCTCCGCCAGCCCTGGTTCTCGCCTGCAGAGCCTTTTCTGCTTCCGGGAAAGCCGGAGCAGGTCACATTGCTTCAAATGAGCCTTCCAATGGGCAGCGTTTGTTGAAGTCCCCAGCAGAGGAAACTGAGTTAAGGCTTCTTTCCCAGTCAAGCTAAAGGCAAAAGAAGAAGAAATACATTATGGTCTTGAAAAAGGCATTAAATTAATGGACTAGGGAAGAGTAGTCTGTGTTCTCTTCTACAACTGGGTGTAATTCCAGGCCTCCCTGAGACTACATTTGGTACAGAACATTGACACGAATTACTGCTATAAGGCAAGCTTTATTGGTGCTGCAAATCATCTACAACTGAACGGTCTTCCAGCCATTTTACTAATAGGGTCCTTTGCACACAATGGTAGATCCCTATAACAAATAATTTTGCATGCACAGTCCCTGGCTGGTAATCCAGTTCCCCATCAGTTGCTAAATAGGGACACTCAGGGGTGGAGTGCACCTTATCTCTGCCGGTCAAAGTCAATGGAAGATAGACTCCCAAGAAATATCTAGTGTAGAAGCAAAGAAAATACAACATGCACAAGCATGATCCATCTCTCCACCCAGCTCCAGCAATGGGAACTGTGTAACATAAATTAACCCTTTTGAAACCAACTGGAAAACCTTGGGCAAGTCATTTGTTCAGCCTTAAAGGAAGACAATGGCAAACCTAAACAAATCTTTCCAAGAAAACCCCATGACAATTCTGTCTTAGGAGCACCATAAGTTAGAAACAACTTGAAAGTACCCAACAACATACCAATAGACTACTGTTAACATTTGGTAATGATGCTGTTCAATGATTCTAAAACCCATCTGTCTGATGGTAGGGTTCAGTTCATTACATTCTGATTTACACACAGAGAGATGCCAAGGAGTTGCACAGTTAAAGAATGGTAGATTATATATGAATATATATATATGAATATATATATGATATATGAATGAAGGAGCCCCCGGTGGTGCAGTGGGTTAAACCCCTGTGCCGCCAGGACTGAAGACCGACAGGTCGCAGGTTCGAATCCAGGGAGAGGCGGATGAGCTCCCTCTATCAGCTCCAGCTCCTCATGCGGGGACATGAGAGAAGCCTCCCACAAGGATGATAAAACATCAAATCATCCAGGCATCCCCTGAGCAACGTCCTTGCAGACAGCCAATTCTCTCATACCAGAAGCGACTTGCAGTTTCTCAGGTCGCTCCTGACACGACAAAAAAAAAATGAAGTTGGCCTCATCTGAGATGAGGCCAGCTGGAGAAACACACAAACTACGAACTGTCATTAAGGGATGTGGCCAATAGTACCTATGATACAGCCTGCTTCACACATGCAAGGAGAAAACCAGTTTGACAAGATAGTTTTCTTCCCTACTACTGTATTACTAATTATCCTGAATTGATCAAACAAGTCTTGAATCCAAACATTTTTGCTAAGTTTAATCTTACATCTAACACATTCTCTTACAGACCCCAGAGGGAAAAACAACAACCAAGCATCAGCAGTTCTACAAAAGTCTACAGGGAATGTGCCTACAGATCAAAGATAATCCCTACAACTATACAAAACATGGTTACAGTTATGCGCGGTGTCCAAAATACCACTCTGTGGAATGTGGAATCAGAGAAAGACAGAGAGGGAGACAGATAGACAAGGCACATGTGAAAAGTGAACTCAGTTGATAGGGCTCATTTTAATAATTACACAGAAAAATGTGGACCACAACTATTTATTCATTTATTTACAGTATTTATATGCCACCTTTCTCATGCCTGGGGGGATTCAAAGAGGTTTACACATAAATAATGGCAACACTCAATGCCTTACATTGGGCACTGATATGATGCCAATACAAACAATTACAATAGTAAAACCACAATTAAACATAAATCACAATTAAAACAATACATCAACAAGCATTAAAACAATAAAACAGTCTCATCAGTCAAATCGCCATACCAGTCAATGTCCCTTTAAAATGCTACATACATCTACTGTCCAAAGGCCTGGTACAAGAACCATGATTTTAATTTTTTCGCAAAACCCAGGAGGGAGGGAGCGGATCTTACCTCATTTGGGAGTGTGTTCCATAGGCAGGGGGCCACAGCCGAGAAGGCCCTGTCTCTCGTCCCCACCAGACGCATTTGTGCTGTTGACGGAAGCGAGACCAGGGCCTCCCCAAATGATCTTAGATTACAAGGTGGGACGTAGGGGTGGATGCGTTCGGACAAGTAAGCTGGGCCGGAACCATATAGAGCAGTGGTTATCAACCTGGGGTCCCCAGATGTTTTTGGCCTACATCTCCCAGAAATCCCAGCCAGTTTACCAGCTGTTAGGATTTCTGGGAGTTGAAGGCCAAAAACATCTGGGGACCCCAGGTTGAGAACCACTGGTATAGAGCTTTATAGGTCAAAACCAGCACTTTGAATTGGGCTCAGAGATGGACCGGCAGCCAGTGGAGCTGGCATAGCAGGGGGGTGGTATGTTCCCTGTATGTCACCCCAGTTAGTAATCTGGCTGCCACCCATTGGACTAGCTGAAGTTTCCAAACCATCTTCAAAGACAGCCCCACGTAGAGTGCATTGCAATCTATTCAGGATGTAACCAGAGCGTGGGCCACCGTGGCCAGATCAGACTTCCCAAGGTACAGGAGCAGCTAGTCACATCTCTCAACCAGTTTGCTAAATAAAAGATCACGGGAAAGTATTTATGTGTGAAATCCATAAAGGTGGTTGTCAAAATCATTAACAAGCTCAATGCCTTGATTGGATCAACAGCTTCCAAAGGATGAGACAACTCAAGATTTGCACACTCAGCTCAACATTTTGGCAGGTACTTGTTTCTACAATTGCCCAATGGTCTATACTCAACATCATGATATCGGATTATTTACAAGGACTTAAAGATGTATTGCTGATGTAAAAGTATAGACAGACTTCATAACCATCACCAAAAGGGATTTGGGTTACTTCTATACAAGCCCTTTTCTCTAGAATCACCACCTATTCTTTACTCATTATTTATTATTCAGTTATCACTGTCAGACAGCGGACAATCAAATGTTGTCTGCATGGCTTGAAGTAACCTATGATTGGTAGCAGTCTTGCTTGCAACATGTTACCTCTCATGCTAATAGCATGATTACTTCCCTAAGAACCTGTAACAATTGACAAGTCGTTGCTTTAGAGATTAACTAATACTTTCGAGATGTTATCAGGGGACTGGGTGGAAGTGTGCTTCTTAGTACAAGACTCTTGCATCTACCTAAGTTATGTGAAATGAGAGGAGAGAAAGAGTGTCTCTCTTTTTCTCTTTAAACAAGATTTTTGTGCTATTCAGATCAGTTTAGGACACTGCTCCATTTCATATCCATTCCACTCAATTCAAAATGATATTACAGAGGGAAGCAATGAAAGAAGAAGTCTGGCAGCCATGTTTATTCAGTTGGCAAATCAACTCCAAACTTAGTCTTGCTCTGCAGGATGATTTTGAAATAAGTTTAATGGAGGCAAGGAGAAGCAGGATCCAGCATTGTGAGGAACAGGTTTTTTTTTTAAAGTTTTCTGTTTATTACAAAAACAGAGTTAGCTAGAACAATTGAAGTAAAAAGATGCAAGTTCCCTTAACTAAAGGACAACCATCTTCGCAGCATCCCCAAATAATGACTAATGTAATGACCAACACAACAAGCAATGCAATGTATTTTCAATAACTTTTTAAACAGCACTACAATAAATTATCAGACACACAACATAAACACTTAAAGCCCTAGTTTTCTGTGTTGAAAACTTCCATTCTTTCCCTCTTAATTTCCGACTCTTGTACAGGACAGAAAGAAAAGTACAAACGTATTATCAGCTTGTTGACTGGGAAAACTCTACTGGTGAATCATTCAAAGCTACATTTTGTCATACACCGACTCATCCTGCTCTCTTGTACAGAGATCTGCTACGGAAAAATGATGATACTGTATAAAATGAAGGCAACCACAAGACCGCAAGGTTTGAAGACATCATCTACCCTCACACAGGATATTACTACTAGCAAAACCCCATTAAAGAAAGGAAATTGTTATTGCTCGTGCAATAAAAGTGACTACCTTCTGCTTCTTACTCCTTCTTCAATCCAAAGGACTCAGAGAAAAATGCACAAGGATGGGACCAATGTAGACCTCTCATATTACAGATGTAACAGATTGATTACTCTATAACTAACAAGTCTACACCTTATTGGGATCCTGGGATTCATAGTTTGGGAAGACACTAGAATTCTCTAGGTGAGAATTCTAAATAACCTTCCTAAATTGCCAATCCCAGCATTCTATATTCTATATTTTATTTCCATGGAAGTTAGTGTAATTGTGTGATGTGAACAGGCTCCTGATCATTCTAAGCAATAAGAAACTGTTACCATGTTTACAGCTTTAGGGCATCCCACAAACCAAGAGGTGGTGAACCTCAGTCACTCCAGATGTTTCACCCTATAGTTCCTTGTCATTGGCCATGCTGGATGGGGATGGGGGAGGTGGAAGCTTAAAAGTGTCCCATTCATACTATAAACAATACTGAATATCTATGTCTAAATAAAAATCAACCTGAGGGTAAATAATAATAGCAACAGCAAGAGCACTATTGAACAGAGTTGTCACACTTATGACCCTCCAGATGTTTCAGACTCCAACTCCCAGAAGCCCTAGCAAGCTTGTCCAGTGGCCAGGAATTCTGGGAGCTGAAGACATGGAGGACCACAAGTTTGACACTACTGCCATAGAGCCTCAAATACATAGCACCAGGATTGTGGCGCAGCTGGCTGAGTGTCAGCTGCATTAAGATCACTCTGACCAAAAGGTCATGAGTTCGAAGCCAGCCCGGGTTGGAGTGGGCTACTAACCAATTGTGTAGCCTGTTGTCGACCTTTGCAACCCGAAAGACAGTTGCATCTGTCAAGTAGGAAAATTAGGTACCACCTTAAAGTGTGAGGAGGCTAAATTAACTAATTTATGAGGCCATAAAAAAGACTCCAGCAAAAGCATGCGGGGAATGAGGAAGTACTTCATCAGTGTCGCAGATGGACGATGAAAGCGACAGCTCCCCTGGTGGCCAGAAAAAGTTAAATAGCCTCT